GAGTGATAAGATATTGACAGCTGTCACAACTATCATGGTCTTGAACAGAGCTTTTAGGGCTGCAAAGTGGGATGTTGATAACCTGATGGATCTGGAGTGGCTAAGATCTTGTGGTCTTACAAAAGAACCCGAGTGTGACAAGTTTTGGGCGTCACTTGATGATCTCGCCCTACTTCCCTACTGGCGACGCGTCTGGATCTTGCAGGAAAACGTCCTGGCCTCAACCTTGTTCTACATTGCTCCCCGAGTCTGCATCGAGTACAGCTCTCTCATGAACGCGTGCCGCATGTTCGAGATCCTTTCCCTCGAGTTGACTCAGAAACAGGCTACAAAACCAAGCTTTGTCCCAAGCCATATTTGGATGAAGTTCTGTCCACCTAAGGGCACTGGCTTTATCCAGCTACGAAACATTTTCCGCTTTGATATTGCCAAGACTATGTACAAAAAAAGTCTTACAGAAAGCCGAGAAGAGCAACAGAGGAAGGCGGTTCAGCTTTCGGTCTTTGGTGGCACACTTGAAGCTACGGATCCGAAAGATCATATCTATGGCCTCCTAGGCCTCAGCTCATTACCCCTCAGTCCTGACTACACCAAGAGCGTCAGAGATGTGTATATAGACTACTGCAAGGCAGTACTCGACATAATAGGGAAGAGCGACAAGAGAGAGCTGCAATTCCTGCGAGACGCTGGCTCTGGTGTTTTCCAGGATCCTCTTGGGTTACCATCATGGGCACCGCAGTTTCCTTCAAGAGCAACTGATAACCCGACACTAATATTTGATGGAGAGTTTAACCTTGCTAGTCTCGACCCCGAGATGCCACGGCCAACTATCTCGGATGCCAAGTTGCACTTGTCCGGCGTGAAATTGCAGACGTTGCAGAGGGTCGGAGGAAACCCAAAGATCCAGAACCTACAGAAGGGAGGTAGTCTTGCAGATTGGATACAAGACTACATCACACGTATACCATTTTATCCTACCAAAATCCCCTCAATTTGGGCACTATTCCTAGTGGTCGCGAGGATGCAGAAACTGGCACTGGATACACCGAGCATGTTGCTATTGCTTAACTTCACGAAGCGACTCGACCTCCAAATTCCAGAAAGCGGTCGACCACGAGGTGTGACAAAATACTTCCAGACACCTGAGGTTGACGGACTCTCCATCATGATAGTTCAAGACGGGGGAAACAACCCTGAAATGATGGGGTTCATTTCGCCGTTTTTAGGCGGGCCTGATGAACTGAAAGCGAGGATGTTTGACGTAGATGCTCAACAGGTCTTTATGATGGAGCGAAACTATCATACTAAACTGTTCGAGACGGATGCTGGATATTTGGGAATGGGGCCACAGGACTGTAGGGTTGGAGATGTCATTTGCATTGTGGATGGGTATGAAGACCTTGTTCTACTACGGAAGCAGGGAGATGATTATGAATACGTTGGACCTTGCATGGCTTATGGAATCACGGATATGTATATCAAGAGGAAAATTGAGGATGGCGAGGTCGCTGTCGAGACGTTTCATCTAGTGTAGGTTGAGCTCATTTAGTGAACTGAGCCATAGGAGCTTGGCGTGAAGCTACGCTTACGTTTATATACGTTGAACCGCCACTTCCTACCACAGCCCACTACAGCAGGCTCTAGCCTGTTATCTTCCGTAGTATAGTGGTCAGTATGCAAGCTTGTCACGCTTGAGACCCGGGTTCAATTCCCGGCGGGAGAGATCCAGCCACCTGCGACACGCAGGTCATTCTTTTTGCATTTTTTGTCATCTATCCCATAATATGTTTTCGCTTCCTTCGCTCTAGATATACAATCCGAGTTTGATTCAGTTTGCTATAATCATTGGTTCATTGTAACCCCTAGCATATTTGCCATCATGAGAGCTCTTGTCTGGCATTCTCTATCCCCAGAAGCAAGCCTGGTTATGGCAGTCCACAATATCAGTTCTCCTTCCTTGCCATGACCAGTCTGCTCCGACACGGTATATAAAAGCTTTGCTGCCATTGCATAGCCTTGAGTAGCTAAACACCATTGAGGGTTATCAAGCCCAATTAACGATGCTTGTTCAACCATTTTAGAAGCAAGATCCCAGGTCAACATCTGGTTGTTAGCATTGTAGTACGCGGCGTAGATGTAACCATGGAGAATCTCAATGGCTCTGGTCCCTTTCTTTGTGAAAGAGTTCTCAGCCGCCAGCAGTACATTCTCATAACGAGAAGTGAGTGCACTTGCAGGCAACTCTTGGCCATTGAATCTTTTGAGATACTTAGCCCACATTGAAAGCACAACGGCATTGCCAAACCCGACGCGGTTCTCGAGAGAGCGAACCGTTCGTAGGTAGCCAACTCGCAGGATCTCCAAGCGTTCTTCGGCCGGTGCCTGGCGTAAGACCTTCAGCAAACTTGGAATTGGATGTCCACTGGGATAGCGTTGATGTGCCAGGAAACGAAGTAGGTCCAAGACGTACTCAAGCAGGGCAAAGTTATTGTGAAGCTGCCCTGTTTGGTGGAATCTGATACAAATCGGCCATAATACTATGATCATTCCACAATCATTGCTTCCAAACACATTCTTTAATCTTTCACACAAGATGTCAAAGGTTTCCCGACTCTCTGCGTATTTCCCTTCCTCTAGGAGAGTTGTAACTCCAAAGCACTCATCGCTTATTTGCTGCCAGATTGGCGAGTGATCAGGGACTCCTGGAGGGACGATGATGTCAAACAAGTTTGAAGAGAAGTTAAAGGTGTCAAACAAGCCGTATACAAAGACCTCTGAAAAGCTCATGATGGCTCGTTGTTTCTTGACTCCATCGGACAAATGTGCATCCGCAGATGGTTGTGGCTCAAGACGAGGTAAGACAGATCGGGACGGGATGTGATCTACAAGGCGTCTGGGTCGCGTTCGGTGAACATTGATTGTAGAACAAGCAGTTTCCGCATCATTCTCCCTCCTGTTCTTGTAGAAACTCGAACCCCACTTCTTGAAATGGGTGGTGTACATTTTCGCCCTGGATTGTTTTGGTCATTAAACTTCTTGATTTTCGGTCATGGTACTGACGTTGCATCAAATCCAAAGCGACTCTTCATCTCACATATAAGAACTTTCAAAGGCTTTCCTTGTTTGATGTAGATCTCATGGATGTTATCCCTCTTGTCTTGCCACTCTTCAGGACTCGGCCCTTGAGTGGTTTGCTTTGTGTCTCTGTCCTGGATCAATGGTGTTGGGCTTGCTGGTTCCATGATGGATCGCTGAACATGTGCTTCTTAGAACTTCTGCTCATCTGAGGTGAGTAAAAAAGTCTGAGAGTGAAAGATTGGCAACGGATTCATAGATATTGAAGCATTATGCGATTGAACCTGATAGATCATTATTGGTCTGTTTAAATTGCCTTGCACCATGCACTGATGCCCATCTATTGTTCAACCAAGTCATGTGCATGTAAACTCTCACACCGGTCTGAGGCTATTGGCCTGTCTATATTTCCATGCATTTGGTGGCACTGCCTATTCCTTGCTGATAGGCCACTCCGGGTCGCATTCCGCCGTGATATGCAGTGTAACAAAAGCGATTAGCGACGTAAGCAGCCACCATAGGAAGCGTTACCATAGCCATTCACTGGGTGGGTCAATTGGCGGCTTGTGTCGTACCTTTGAGCCTCAAACATCTTTCTCGTGCTGCTGAAGAGCGGTGCTTATTCTTGGCCCCTGGTTCTGGCCGCTGGCCCTTCGTGAATGCATTCCTGTGACTTATACAGCCCTGGATTTAAGCATTAGATAATCCGGCCTTGTCGACGCACGCTCGAACTATTTATTCATCTGGATTCCCCTCAAAGTTACGACCCATTCTTCGCAATCTCAACATCTCATTCACCGCTAAATCTTGAATCATGGCAGAACTTGAACTTCGATCTCCCCATGATAACATCCACAGTCAGGCTCAGCCTCAACTCTGGGGGAAACAAATACAAGAAGCACCACAATGCATTACACTCATGGCCAAGTGTAAGCTTCTTCTGTCCAAAGCCTTGATGGAAGGCCTTGAGGTGTCACCCAATGGACCTGAGTACTTACTGCAATGACTTCGTTTTACGTAATATCATTAACAAATCACCAGGCACGAGCCACTTCTGGTGGTGATGGGGCGTTTCTGTCGTATGGGCGAGTCAACGTTCAGATCAACCGCAATACACATGAAGGCAGTAGGCCGCCTTACCCACGACATGTGGAAGGCTGACGGCACTGTAAGTGACTCTATCCCGAGTCTTGCCCTCCGCCTGATACTTATTATTATCTTTTTTTTTGTTTAGCTTGATTCGGTCACGAAGCATATCAATCTGAAGCCGTGCAGAATGAGAGATTTGCGTTTGCAATCTCATATGAAGTCAGGGCTGTCCAAAATAGGACAATCTGTCACAGAAATCTCTGCTGTGAAGGATGATCTCTCGGAATGGGGGAGAACAACAAATAACTTATTAGACTGTCTACGAAATAAGACTTGTGAGTATCTGCCCTGTGCTGGAGATATCTCGATATGCGACTGACTCAAACTCGGCCAAAACCGAATTCTTCAACGAGAAACAGCAAGCGAGATTAAGTTCTTCGAAAATGAACTAGAACATTTCGAAATAGATCTTGTAAATTTCATGGAATCGAGAGAAGCGCTTCGGAGTCCCTTTGAAGAACGCTTCGAAACGAACGGTGAATATTTACAAGGCATCAGAAGTATACGCTTGACATCTGACTGTATCCATAGTCTCTGGGCGAGCTTACCCTTTTGTTCTTGCGTCGGCCATAGCTTCCACAGTCTCTGATTCCCCTCTGGGGTCCATTCTGCGACTTGGTTCACAGTGGTGGCTGGGGACGACGATCAGAAGACTAGAGCAGCAAATAAGTACTCTTAACACAGTTCTGGATGAGAGCCAGAGTGAGAACGAGTCTTTGGCAAGCCATCTCCGTATCACCTGTTCCAAGTTGTAACTAATTCCTTTTTAGACAAAAATGATTGACATTCTAAAGATCACTTTAGAGGATCTTGATAAACTCCAACGGGAGATCTCAAAATTTATGGATTTTTTGATTAGTATACAGGACATTGTGGCTGAGGTCAAAGACGGCGATGACCGTGTCTTGATAAAGGACCTTACTGCGAAAGATATTGACGACATGAATGACGACCCACAGTTAAAGAAAGTAAGCGCTGGGCTATGATGAAGTTGGTTGCTTTGCTTACTCGATCAGGATTATCTTCGAGATGTTTCCCTTATGAAAGAGAGACTTTCCATCGCATCCAGGGCAACTGGACTATACACTGAGCTTTCAGATAAGTTCATACTTCCTGCCATCGACTGGGTGGGTACATTGTCCACTCTCAACTTGTCCGATGAGGCTTATGGAGAAATGGAGCTTCAAATCAATGCCAAACGATTGGAGTTGTCAGAAGGAGCTGAGCAGTTGGTTACGAAGGTATGTATCATGAGGCTGATGATATCGGGTGAATAGACTGACTTTCTGTAGCGGGTTGCTGAAATTGGCATTGAACTCAAGGCCCGCTGTCCCCAGGCAATTGTTACTGAACTCGCGGACGATGATTCAGAGGAATTCGAAGAACGTGTTAACACCCAAGTCTGATCGACCGTTTACTATCTGATATTTAACGGAGGCACTTTGTATCATATGTTTAACCAGATTGACAACGTTTGAGTGATTCGTAAGAGAAATGTCTTGATTGGTGATAACTATTTATGTGTCTTTCCTTAGCTCCTGGAAAGTACTAAAGCTTAGGATCCTCCTCGGTCTTTGCAACCGCTTCAACATTAGATAGGATAGACTCCTCCAAGGTTGTCCAACCAGGTCGGCCTAGGTCCTTGAGAAGCTGCTCAGCCTTGTCTCTTGGTTCGATCTCATTGGGGTCCTCTCCACCTGAGAAGTTCTCAGGGAATGTCTTGTTGGGAAAGTTCTTTCTAAGGATATCGAGGATAGCGTCCCAACTGAAGCGACCAGCGAAACCAAAAATACGCTGTTCCTTGACATGATCGAAGACAGCAGCTGCAACATGAAGTCGGCCTGTGTCCTCGACATCAATGTAGTATTCTATACCCATATAAGTACGTGATGAATTTCAAGAGATGCTCGAGACTTACGAGGGACGATAAGGCTGTGGAATGGTGTTACTTGTCCTTTGAAGAGAAGCACCGGGAGGCCAGAGCTACTAGGGTATCCCTGATGCTCGGGATTGGGATCAATAGAAGGTCCCCAGTTGAAGTTGGGAAGGACTATCATGAGTCAGCCAGTGGTCGCAATTTGCATTTCTGTTAGACATCTTACCCGTGTTGACGACCAATTCAGGCTTCTCGCTATGGTGTTCCTTGTGATACTTCCAGATAGCCTGTTCCGCCTGTGCTTTACTTGCCGCATACACAGCACCACGTCGGTCGGGCGTGTAAGGAGGATCAGCCCACGCCTTCTTGATCGCACCTTCAGACCAGCTCTCTTCAGTGACCTTGACACCGGGAACATCGCGCTGAGAGACGACGGCAGCGGAAGATGATGAGGTGAAGACGAATCGCTTCACGCTGGACGCTGCGTAAGCGGCCTTGATTGCCGCGACAGCGAAGTTAATGACAGCAGGGATAACATTATTAGGATCAGCGTCCATGGTCATAATTGATGCAGTATGCGCAATGACAGCGGTCCCTGTAGTTATTGCATTAGTCGCGTGTACCTTTGTCAACTTGGAGAACTGATTCGTACCCTTGGCGGCCTCAGTCAAAGCCTTGTCATCTGTCAAGTCTGCCACCGCAACAAGCTCGAAGTTTCCTGGGCCATATTGTTTATCAAACGCAGCTGTGAGCCACGAGTTCTTTTCGACATCACGAACAGTTCCGCGGACCTTGTAGCCATATTCGAGGAATTGTTTGGCGACATGAGAGCCGAGAAGGCCGTTAACTCCAGTCACTAGGACCAGAGAGCCTTTGGGGATAGCGGGGTTATCAAGAGGGGCCATGTTGTTAGATGCTGTATAGATGATGAGAGTAACTAGAACTTATTCTATGGTGTGGATACTTGGCGCATTTATATACCTCGTTGTTGAAGGATTCACCGTATAGCCC